CGAAGTTTTCCGATAGGAAGACGACACTATATGTATAGATCTATACGGGGCAGACGCTATTACATCCCGACTGATAACTTCAGTCCGAGCCGCTCAGGCCCAGGGATGCTTTTACTCTACTACACTATGCATGACTGGGAAGGTCATGGGGGTTCGCTATTACTCACACTATTGGGAATATACTAGAAAGACACTATAACCGCACTAAAATACTAAAAGAAAGATGAAGTAATATCCCGAAGTAAATAAGTATCTAATACTAAAGGATGCTGCACCACTATTATATACTCTAAGAATAACTCACTATATTACATTACTTAATGGTGAGTCACTATTACACTTCTATGATAAATGACATTCAAAGATAGAAACAACAGATTTCTTAAGGATTTTCATTTACTATGCAGTTCTGGAGAATATGGGATTTTCTAGGTCTCACCACTATTTATGATTTCAAACTTCAGTTTTCATAATAATGACTCTAATGCTTTTTATACAAGTACTCACACTAAAACTCTTATGAACTCACCAGCTTTATGCTGATATTCTTTTCAAAATAACTTGTATCTTCAGGTCAAAGATAGACAGGTACAGCAGCAGCATTTTTGGAGAAGATGGAGGATACAAGACCCATCTCTTATTTTTGTTTACTTTTGGTGTTTGTCAAACATTACAAAACACACTTGTAAATACACTTACTATATAAATGAAATGGTTGTATGTTTCTTGCTTTTACTATTATACAATTGTGATGATACTGTACACTACGTCATCCACCCCGAAACGTATTCCGCCGTTATCGGTTTTGGGGTGTGACAAGGGATGATGGGAAGCGGTGAAATCGATTTAGGGCTAATGTTCTATATTTATCTTTGCTTGTTGCGTGATATAAGGAATTGTTGTTGATCTACCATAATTAACTATGCAAAGATTACTATAATACCCTTAGATTATTTATTTAATGATTTATTTTTTCCTAATTTCCTATTGGTGCATTCATGCACACAATAGTTGTTAAAAACATTTGAACCTAGTTCTATATATAAATATATATATATATATATATATATATATATATATATATATATATATATACAAACTGTTATGCTATTTACGATGAAGTGTTGTGAACGAGACACAACTTGTGTGCATTATATATAAAACATATGTTTCAAACTATATTAGGGGATATAAGGATGAGAGAGTTCCAACGAAGTATTATCAATGACTTATTAGTTGAGGCATGTCACCACTAAACGTAATTAAAACAACTCTTGATCCAAGGGTAAATCAAGCACAGGAAAAAATATTCAATAACTAAATGTGAACAAAATTGAATGTCCGTTACCCTTTCAAGTTGTTACCCTATAGATAAATGTTTTTGCCTTGGTAAAGCATACTATTATGTTCTCCATTTTAGGACTGCTTAATAAGTTTCATTACATTAGTTTATATGAGTGCAGGGTTCAATCTTTAAGATTTAAAACTTATATTTGCTTTCACTAAAAGATTTAAGGGCATAACAGGGACCATGTTACTATGATCAGTTACAATCGGTCATTAGGGTAAAATATGAACAATTTCAAATAATTTATAGGTAAATATAGCACAGAAAAAAAATTCAATTACTAAATATGAACAAAATTGAAAGCTTGTTACTGTAACATCTGAATTTTTGAAGTACTTTGTATGTAATTTTTGGCATAATTAGGGTTTTCACAACGTCGTGAGGACCACCATGACATGGCGATTTTGGTGGTAACACTCTAAATTTTTAAGCAAAATTTTTATTTTTAAGCCACATAAAACTCAATATCACATTTCTCAAAAACCACAAATGTATTAGTTGTCAAAAACACGAAGCAACAAAATGATTGATAATATCCCAGAATCCTCAAACATAATCTCAAACAGGTGTGTACAATTAAGCTGCCGCCTTTCCGCGATCCTGAGAAATACTTGAAACACATATCACACAACACAGTAAGCACGAAGCTTAGTGAGTTCCCCAAAATACCACATACACAAATAATAAACCTCTAATGGCTATAGCTCGGCATGGACCCTCCGATCATGCGTCTCGGTAAGGACCCTCCGGTCTCACTGCTCGGCGTGGACCCTCCGGTCATGTATCTCAGTGAAGACCCTCCGGTCTCATAGCTCGAGTTGAAACCTCCAGTCTTGTATCTCAGTGAAGACTCTTCAGTCTCACAGTTCGGTTCGGACCCTCCGGTCCTAACTCAGTAAGACACAAAATAATATAGCATATATCATAGAGACAAAATGCACAAAATAATATATATATATATATATATATATATATATATATATATATATATATTTGTTATTATTTATGAATAAATGTACAATCTAGATATATATTTAATGTGTTTTATTCATTTATAAATATAACTTAATTCATCTATTCATTCAAGATAATGACTGAATTCATATATGATTAAAAATATGTCTTATTGATTTATGATTACATTGGATAAAATGATTAATTCCTCAATCTTTTTGATGTGGTTGGTAAAAATAAACATAAAACAAAAAAAAAACGTTTTTTTAATCATTTTATTGATTTTGTTAATTAAAAATAGATTATATGTATTCTTAATAATTGGGTAAAAAATCTATTAATCAAATTAAATCCCATGATTTTCGAAATTAATTAATTGTCTACAAATTATTCATATTTAATTATATTATAAAATTCATTTTATGATTTTATAGAATGATTGGTTTAGAACTGTGCTCGCGTTTCCAACCTTTATAGTTTTCTCAATTGATCATTTCCCTATATATAGTTTTCTCATAGCTCGAGTTGAAACCTCCAGTCTTGTATCTCAGTGAAGACTCTTCAGTCTCACAGTTCGGTTCGGACCCTCCGGTCCTAACTCAGTAAGACACAAAATAATATAGCATATATCATAGAGACAAAATGCACAAAATAATATATATATATATATATATATATATATATATATATATATATATATATATATATATATATATATATATATTTGTTATTATTTATGAATAAATGTACAATCTAGATATATATTTAATGTGTTTTATTCATTTATAAATATAACTTAATTCATCTATTCATTCAAGATAATGACTGAATTCATATATGATTAAAAATATGTCTTATTGATTTATGATTACATTGGATAAAATGATTAATTCCTCAATCTTTTTGATGTGGTTGGTAAAAATAAACATAAAACAAAAAAAAAACGTTTTTTTAATCATTTTATTGATTTTGTTAATTAAAAATAGATTATATGTATTCTTAATAATTGGGTAAAAAATCTATTAATCAAATTAAATCCCATGATTTTCGAAATTAATTAATTGTCTACAAATTATTCATATTTAATTATATTATAAAATTCATTTTATGATTTTATAGAATGATTGGTTTAGAACTGTGCTCGCGTTTCCAACCTTTATAGTTTTCTCAATTGATCATTTCCCTATATATAGTTTTCTCATAGCTCGAGTTGAAACCTCCAGTCTTGTATCTCAGTGAAGACTCTTCAGTCTCACAGTTCGGTTCGGACCCTCCGGTCCTAACTCAGTAAGACACAAAATAATATAGCATATATCATAGAGACAAAATGCACAAAATAATATATATATATATATATATATATATATATATATATATATATATATTTGTTATTATTTATGAATAAATGTACAATCTAGATATATATTTAATGTGTTTTATTCATTTATAAATATAACTTAATTCATCTATTCATTCAAGATAATGACTGAATTCATATATGATTAAAAATATGTCTTATTGATTTATGATTACATTGGATAAAATGATTAATTCCTCAATCTTTTTGATGTGGTTGGTAAAAATAAACATAAAACAAAAAAAAAACGTTTTTTTAATCATTTTATTGATTTTGTTAATTAAAAATAGATTATATGTATTCTTAATAATTGGGTAAAAAATCTATTAATCAAATTAAATCCCATGATTTTCGAAATTAATTAATTGTCTACAAATTATTCATATTTAATTATATTATAAAATTCATTTTATGATTTTATAGAATGATTGGTTTAGAACTGTGCTCGCGTTTCCAACCTTTATAGTTTTCTCAATTGATCATTTCCCTATATATATAATCGTCACTTTATGAGTGACGTAATTCTAAATATTTTAAAAACTACCAGCTAAACATGTCTGTAAATATCAAAATCGACTTTTATAAAAATTTCCTAATTTTTTCTATCATAATAGAACTATTAGTTCTGAAAACTATTTATGAAATCTTGAAATTGAAAACTTTATCCCAAAATGATTTTTAAACAACGAAATAATGTCAACTAAATAATCTTTAAATTATCATAAAATAACAATCAACAATATATAATTTTTTCTTTCAATTATTTATCTATTAATCGTGTTCAACGAGTCAATTTTTTTGGGGTTCTTAATATACCATTAAGGTATATTTTAACCGCATAAACAATTAATACATGGTCACGGTTTATTCCGTGACAAAAGTTATACCCATAAGAAATTTATCAACTCAACTAGTATGAGTATCTCTTCATATGCTAGTACAGTAATACGGTTTACCGTTCCAAAAATATATATATATAAACTGTACCAATGTTACTTTTGCTCACCATAACTACCAGATATTACCATAAAAGCCCAATAGTTAGTCAATATTTGATGGTTTTACATTAAGTTCAATTGTATGTTCATTAATGCCTACTAATTAAGTAGCTTTCCAATAAATAACATTAATCTTTTGCTCACCATAACTAAGGGATATTAACATAAAAACCCAAAAGTTGGTCAATATTTGATGGTTTTACATTAAGTCCACTCTTATGTTTATTAAATGTCTACTAATTGAATAGCTTTTGCCATAGATAACATTTATCACCTCAAACAGCCTGTATCATTAAAATTACATTAAACTTGAGAAAAACATGTCTCAAGTTAAAAATGTGAGCTCCTCAAAAACAAATCTCTCTCTCTCTCTCTCTCTCTCTCTCTCTCTCTCTCTCTCTCTCTCACACACACACACACACACACACACACATGCCTGTTTGAAAGGATTTCAATATACAAGAAATAGAAAAACGAAATACAACAATTGCAACATTATAAGGCATTTCAGACACCAATTCATCTTACAGATGTCTACAAGATTGTGCATCCACATGAATTCAGTTTTCCAGTCTCATCTTGTTTTTTGGCTGGCATCCCACAAAAAATAATTATAAGACATGGAATTATGCAATATCATTAATTTTCATTAGAGGTGGCAAAATGATCAAAATGGTTTAAAAAACTTTAAATATTATTGTAATAAAAATAATCCATATTAAAAAATAATAATAATAATCCATGCGACCCGTTACCCGACCAACTGGTTTTACCACTTTGTATGCATTTGGCATTTGCATGTTACAATTCAGAGTACAATAAGTCAAAATAGAGTTTAGGCATCATAAATTAATGTCTTTGAAATATGGGATTTGAAAAAATATTATATGGTGCATGGAGTTATGTATTCTCATTGTTTTGAGAAAAAAAAAAAAAACATTCACCAGAAATAACATGAAAAAATGGTGAAAAACTGACCTGACTTTTTTTTATTGAGGACAGGCTGAATGACAACATGCATTGTGATTACTCCTCCTGCAAAGGCACCATCACGGACTCCAGATTCTGATAGTGTCTTATTGTTCTCCAAAACTTTTCCCAAATGAATAAGCTTTATGTCATTCACTGTCTTGGGTACTACAGATTTACCTATTAATAAAAAAAATAAAAAAAAAATAAAAAAAAAATAAAAGAGATCAGCATTCATGTTTTACATTTTTCAACAAGCAATATGCTTTTTGAAGGTGATTAAGATAAAAAAGAGATGAAAAGACAGCACTGACAGCCAAAAGGATAAAGAAATAAGATGAAAAGAATATCTCAAACCTTGAGGCCACTCAGAAACAAGCTTTTGCTTAAGAGCAGATACAGTAGTTGATGATGCGTAGTTGCTATGGCATATATCTGTTCCATCATATATTCTGAATTTAAGTTCAATATGCTCATTGCTTACAGCCATTATATACGTTTTCCTCCAAATCACACTTCAGGCAACCAGACACAGGAATATGTCTCTCCCAATTCACCTGCACACACTTCTCAAAGTTTGAATATCCAAGCAACCATACAAATTACTCCATCATAAGAATGCTTTCTATAACCTTGTTCAAAAAGGAAAAACAAACTATTACTACTATAACATACAGCAAATTATTAAGTTCAATGTCATTTTCGTTTTCTTCTCTCTGTCTTCATTCTATGATTGCTCGGATGAGGGGGCTTGATTTAATGCAGAAGAAACCTTTCACAAGCAAAAACCACGTATCTTGACAATGACCCTCTCCCCCCAATCTTTTTGATACAAAATTCAAAAATCAACTCTAAAGACAGGCACAATGTGTATTTTCTTCTTTTTGTTAGATAGAATTGACATATCCCAGCAAAGAAACGATCACCAGCCACAAACAATTATAGTATAATAGACAAAATCAAGAGAAATCATCTTCAGTGGAAGCCAAACCTGGAAAAGTCCGTAATCACAAAGAACATGGGCGGATAATACATTTGAGTTACTTCTTCCAGAAAAAACTAAGCACTTCATATGATCCAATAGCTGGCGATACACTAGTTCGTTACTGCCACACAAGATTAAAAAAAGAAAAGAAAAAGAAAAAAAAAAAAAAGTACCATCAAGATCAACGAAACCATTTTCTAAATTTCAAATTACTACGAACATCCCAATCATTCGGAACATTATAAATAGATCTCCGACAAAAAAAATTTAAGCGACTCAGTTTGATCGATCCTAATCGTATAAAAGATAATGATAGGTACGAAAGAAAAAGTACAGTAAACTTTTCGTTCTCGCAAGAAAATATAACAGAGCAATACTAAAGGTAGAAAGAGAACGGATGATTTGACCTGACGAAGACGCCATTGACAGATGAGAAATATGATCAGAAGCTTTGGTTTATTGCAGACGGTTAGGGTTCGGAAGATTGACGATAATTTCAAGCAATTTCTGGTGAAGCCTTTTCCATTTTCGTTCCGGGTTATTTTTCGTCAGCCTTTTTCGGTCTCACCTTATTTGTTTACTAGAGCAACCGGAGTAAAATAATGTAATTAAAAACTAAAATATTAATAAATAAATATCATTAAAAATAAAAATAATTCAAAAAATTCCCTAGAGTTTGGTTCTAATGTAAAAATCATCCTTAAACCTTTTTTTTTTTTTTTTTTTAATTATATGATCAAGCCAAAAATACTGGTTAAACGTATGCATAATGAAATTTCTACCATATATATATATATATATATATATATATATATATATATATATATATATATATATATATATATATATATATATATAAAAGTTCAATAGAGAATCATAATTATTGATTCTTCAAGAAACCAAATCTTTTTTTCAAGTTCTAAAGTTTATTCTTTATAAAAAAAAAAAATTTAAAAATCTAAATTCATATATTAATATTGTGAATGTGAAAAATATTTTTCGGATTTACTATGTGAATCCGGATTCACATTATGAATTTTCAAAGATTCACATTGTGAATTTGACGAATTTTTTTTTTCCGAATTTGATATCATTGGAAAAATGATAAAAAAAATTATGAGTTTTTGTATTTTTAGTCATTCTCCCTTTGGGATCATCTCGCCTTTGTAGGTCTCCGTTTTCCAGCTGCGGAAAGCTTCACTCCTTTCACTGAATGAAGACCAAGGAAAGAACTTCAAATGTTGAACCATTTGGAAAGAACTTCAAATGTTGAACCATTGCTATGGATGCTTAACCTTAAAGAACTTTGTGGGTCTTCTGAGTGCCACTCTTGGGAAGAACATCCTTCCGCTAGCCTTAAAGCACCTATCTCCTTAACCTTCCTCGTACTGGTGGATGAAAGACCTCGTCTAGGCAACCTATTTGCATCCTGTGCTAGTAACAACAGTTTGCATGTGGCTATTCCACTTCATATAGTAATTAATGGCATTCTCCAGTCCAATCTGATTTTGCATGAATTGCTTTCTTTTCTCCAGTCCAATCCAATTCTGAAAAGACTGAGCACAGCCTTTTGGTGGCCTCTCCATCGGGGAAATCTAGCATTTCTAGTTCAGCTAGCCTATTAGGCGTTGTGTAAGAGCTTCATGCTATATATGGAATAGCGGTAAGTGCTGCTTGATTAACTGCTTTAAAGTTTGAAACAAGTCTTGGATTCGGAAGAGAAGTAGGATTTTTTTGATAAAAAATAAGTTCTAAAAGTTGAAAAAAAGATTGGTTCCTTGGTTAATTATGGTTATCTATTGAACCTCACCCTATATATATATATATATATATATATATATATATATATATATATATATATATATATATATATATAATGACAAATCTAACCTACTCCTAAACTACACCTTAAATCTACCTATGTCCACGATAAGACTTAAACAAGCAACCTCAAGAAGGGAGGGCAACACTGGATACCGTTATGTTATAAGTCCTTCAATGACCATTTTGCATATACTTACCGATTTATTAGGTTTAATTGTTATATATATATATATATATATATATATATATATATATATATATATATATATATGAAGCTTAGGAATAGTAAACCAGACATTTTTTGGCAGAAAATGGTCCCTACACATTGCTCCTCATTCTTTACCTATTTTGTCATTTGTGGTCCTTGCAATCAATATTTTTATACTTTTAGGAACCTTTTAATATTTAAAGTTTGTCCACAAAACTTTAACGGTTTGACAACTTTGATTTGTTTTCTAAAAATTTGCTAATTCCTACCCCTTTAATTCTTTAACCGTTTTGAAACTTCTGATCCTTGCAGTCAAAACTTTTACATTTTTTCATAAAAACATGAAATAAACGGTCCGGGGCAAACTCTGGGCTTTTCATCCTTGCACTTTCTACGTTTGTCATATTTGTCGATTCGGAAACTATTGAAAGCTTCTGGTCCCCGCGTAGCGGGGGTAACCTTTTTAGTTGTAAATAAAAATCATGGATGATATTTTCATTAATAAGGATTTTTTTTTTTTTTGAAAACTTTTCCTTTTACATATACTAAATTCATTTGTTAAAAACTTATTTATTTATTAAAAAGCTCAATGGATTTTTTTGGTTGTTGAATGGTAGCCTTTGATCTTCCATATGTCATTCAACATTGTAACCGATTTTTCATTTGTCATTGTAACTAGTCTTCTTGGGTATAAAACAAGATTATTTAAGTGTGAATAATGACAAAAAAGTTTGGTGGTGCATCATTGATCAAATTTTGGATATTTTTAGTGATTTTGGTATTACACATTTAGATTTGTATTTTTATATTTATATTAATGTTTTAACTAATCATACATACTTATAAAGCTAGTATTTTTTCTTGAATCTCATGCATTTGAAACACCCATTCTTTTTTCCTTTCACCACATTCATTTGAAACTTCCATGACTTTTCAATTTCTTTATAATAATAAGTATAATTTGGTAATTAAACAAAATTTCAATATTAAAATAATATCTTTAATTCTACTTATAAAAATATGTTTTTTAACTTTTAACATATTATACTTAATTTATTAGTTTTAATATATTGTTAGATGTAAAACATTATCATTTTGAAGATATAATTTTTGAATAATTTGTATAAAATACTCAAATTATTAATTAAAATATAACATTATAGGCTCAACTTAAATATAAATTTTATTTAACTTAAACAACCCAAAGATTATTTTATAAATAGTTAAAAGTGATAAATTGTATTGTCTTTCTAATAATGATTGTAAGTTGGTTAATAAGGTTAAATAAATATCAAACCTAAAGTATAATCATAAATAGACTAAATTTCAATATTAAAATAATATTTTTACTTCTATTTATAAAGTTATGTCTTTGCATTTGAAACCCCTATTTTTTTTCCTTTCACCATATTCATTTGAAACTCTCATCACTTTTCAATTTCTTTATAATAATAATTATAATTTGGTAATTAGGTTAAATAAATATCAAATCGAAAGTGTAATCATATATAAACTAAATTTCAATATTAAAATAATATATTTAATTCTACTTATAAAATTATGTTTTTTAACTTTTAACATATTATACTTAATTTATTAGTTTTAATATATTGTTGGATGTAAACCATTATCATTTTAAAGGTGTAATTTTTGAACAATTTGTATAAAATACTTAAATTATTAATTAAAATATAACATTATAGGCTCAATTTAAATATAAACTTTATTTAACTTAAACAACCCAAAAATTATTTTATAAATAGTTAAAAGTGATAAATTGTAGTGTCTTTCTAATAATGATTGTAAGTTGGTTAATAAAGTTAAATAAATATCAAACCTAAAGTGTAATCATAAATAAACTAAATTTCAATTTTAAAATAATATCTTTACTTTTATTTATAAAGTTATGTCTTTAAATTTTAACATACTTAACTTAATTTATTAGATTTAAAATGTTATTGCATGTAAACCATTATCAGTTTAAAGCTACAACTTTTGAACAGTTTGGACAAAATACTTAAATTGTTAATTTAAATATAACATTACAGTATCAACTTAAATGCAAATTTCAGTTTCACTAAAAAAAACCAAATAATATTTTGTAAATAGTTAAAAGTGATAAATGCAAAAACTAAATTGTAATATCAGTTTAACTAAAATATTTCCTAAATATATTTATATAAGCGTTAAAAAATTTCAAATAAGTATCTTAAAATAACTTATAATAACAATAGTTAAAAATAACTCTATATAAATGATTATATTGTTACATTAAAAATCAAAAAATAATGTGTGGTGTTTTAAATAATTATAGTGATAGAAATTAAAACATTAAGCAAATAAATTTAAAAAAATTAGTTAACAATAACAACAACTATAAGTAATATTAAACCATATATAATATTTAATTTTATTGATGTATAACTCGCGAGTAGAAGTCATTCAAACGATTGAGATTCTGACGTTATAATATATATATATATATATATATATATATATATATATATATATATATATATATATATATATTATCATATAATTCAAAATAATCAATATATTATATCAAATTAATACATGAATTATTATATCAATTTAACAACAACGTTAGTATTATTTTTAAATATATATATATATATATATATATATATATATATATATATATATATAATATTTGTAAAGACTTCAGCTATATAGGTGTTTCTGCGCATTACAATGTCAACTCAAATATAAATTTCAGTTCCATTTAAAAAATTAAAGAATATTTTGTAAATAGTTAAATGTGATAAATTGTAGTGATAAAAGCAAATTCTAAATTGAAACATCAATTTAACTAAAATATTTTTTAAATATATTTTTATAATCGTTTAAAGTTTCCAAATAAGTAGCTTAAAATAACTTACAATAACAATATTTAAAAACAACTATATGTAAATGATTATACTATTAGCTTTAAAATAAAAAGAAACAATGTTTGATGTTTTAAATAATTATAATGATAGAAATTAAAACATTAAGCAAATAAATTTTAAAAAATTATTTAACAATTTAAACAACTATAAATAACATCAAATCATATATTATATTTAATTTTATTCATGTATAACTCGCGGGTAGAAGTCATTCAAACGATTGAGATTATGAAGTTATAATAAACACATATATTATCATATAATTCAAAATAATCAATATATTATATCAATTTAGTTTATACAAATTATTATATCAAGTTTAACAGCAACGTTATTGTTATATTTAAAAAGTCATATATTTTTAAAGATTTCAACTATATAGGTGTGTTTGCGCAACGTGTGGGCATTCGCCTAGTTAAATATACTAAAAGGACTCACCCACCTTTTCTCTCTCTCTCTCTCTCTCTCTCTCTCTCTCTTCTATCTCTTTCTCTCTTCATCCCCCTTTCTCTCTCCACCTGCCAAGAACACCCACCAGATGTCACCCTCTCAAGAACACCCATCATATATCACCATCACCGTTCACTACCACCATATTCATGTCGCCATCATTGTTCACCACCACTATCTGCCTGCCATCATCGTATTTCT